CATATATACTACCGAGAACCGGAGACAGACATGAAAAGAATGAACGGCAGTAGGGAATAACTGGTAAAGACGGCCAAGAGAAGAGAGTCTTCATCTAGTAAATTTCGCACTTTTTCGCTCTCAAATGCTCATTCAAACCGCAGACTGTTTCGGTCAGCATTAAAGTACACTTATTTGGTTCGTACTTAGTGTACCCAGAAAAGTTTTACGAATTCTCTCTACGATATACGAACGGTGCCTAATCTTCTTACATGATGTTAACCTTTTAGTCAATGGATCAAAAACCATCTAATAGCTATAACATGAAATTTTGTAAAGCTTTCTTCTAACACTGAGAGCACATTTTAAATCAACATACTTAAATTAGATTCCAACTTCCCGTTACATATTATTCCCCCCAAGGACATATTGCGCTTAGTCTGCAATGCAACAGAACTACGTTCAATTGTTGGAACTCATCAAATGCATCACGGAAACTATCTCAAGCCAAGGAAATGTTTCGCACTAACGACCGTCTGAGATGATCACATCTGTCAACGGAACGATTATGGGAACTGGAAATTTGACCAGTGGCATTGTACAATTTCTGTCAGTGCAAATAAACAAACAATAGAATCCCATATAAGAATACTAAATTACATTAAATTCTTGTTGGAATCGTATATAATCATCACTGAAGCTGATATAATAGTTCTTTTTCCAAGAACAGTTATTCCAAAACAAGAGAGAACAAAATTAAAACTTGTTCCGAAAGGAATTTTTAAAAGTTTCCAGATGTGGAGAGACTTCTTTGCCATGTGAAAACTACTAATTCATCCAAGCTACCATATATTTTAGAGCGCGATCTTGGTTTAATAACCATAGAAAGCCTCCACACCAGTCTAAACTATGTAGGGGACGCAGCCAAGGCAAAGTGACTCTTCACTTTATGTGAAGACAGCTTGGTGCTATCACCCTTAAATTATTTTTAACCCTGTTGAAGACGAACGCGCGCCCACACTTCGAGGTTCACAACGTCATCGCAACCCCTCTGATCAAAAGAGACATAAATTTCTTGGATCGAGTGCAGAGACGGGCAACCAAATGGGTGATAGGGTTGAAAAATAAACCCTACGACGATAGACTCCAGCTCTTGGAATTGTTTCCACTGAGCTACAGGCGAATCAGAGGTGATCTGATCATGGCGTACACCATATTAAACACGCCAAACCATCCCAATGTGAGCATCTTACCGACGCATCACCACCACTCCCCTCGAGGCCGTCCTCGAAAGATTGCACATCAAAGAGCGAATACTCAGATTCGTTCACACGTTTTCTAATTGCGAGTCGTCGCAACTTGCAAAGTTCTCCCAGAAGAGGCGACCACAACCCCTTAGTGTAATGCTTTAAGAAGAGACTTGATAATCACGCACTCACATACGGATTATCATCTCCCTCTTGGACAAGCTGTTCATGTTGCATATCTTGAGACCTGCTAGTTGTTAGCATTGTCATCTCCTCAGATCACTCAATTAATCTATCTCGCCTATTATCTCTGTTTCCTCTCCCTTGCTTACATTTCAGCCCCCTCTCACAATCTTCACTACCAATTAATATACTAAATCATCTATATATTACTTAGTTCTGAAATTTTATTCATATTAGCACTAGAATTTAATCCTTATTACCCTTATTATTCTCCACACTGCAACTAACTGATCTCCGGTTTGGTAATGTGACGGCTGCTAGTATGCAGAAACCCTACTGCCCTGAAACAAACGTTTCATTCAAATCCCGAGACATACAAACTCATAACCAACTTGAGATGGTGGAGAAAACTTGTAGCTCAGGTGGATGATTGTGGTGGTGTTTCGTTCTCTGAGCTGGTTGTTTTGGTTGTGGAGCTTTCATTGTTCCTGGATGTACTAATCACCAGAACTAACACAGGAAAACTAGAAACTCAAGTATTTCGGAAGCCAACCCACACCGACGTAATTCTCAACTACGACAGCAACAACCCAAGAACCCACAAAATCAACTGCATACAAACTCTGTTCAAGAGAGCGAAGACACACTGCAGCACATACGAAACATTAAAAAACGAGGAAAAACATCTGATGACTATCTTCCAAAAGAACGGCTATCCACGCAACTTCATCAAAAAACATCAACCAAAACTATCATCAGGAGTGAAATCAAGCACAGGAACAAATAAACGCATCATCCTACCATACATCAAAGACATATCAGAGCATACGGCACGACTACTGAAACCATTTGGAATAGGTGTGGCACACAAACCAACGGAATCACTTCAGTCAATCCTATGTAGACCAAAGGACAAAATGACAAAGGAAGAAAAACCAAATATCATCTACAAAATAAATTGCTCAAATTGTGAAAAACACTACATAGGACAAAGTGGACGACCTCTTCAGCTCCGTTTACGTGAACATCAATTAGCAGTCAAACGCCACGACAACGCTTCGCTTATATCAATACACACCGACAATTATGGACACACATTTGATTGGAACAACGTGGAAATACTAGGTAGGGGGAGGACAAAGAACACAGATCAAAAGAGGGAGGCAATCAAAACATAGTTGCAAACAACGACAGGTCAAATGTCAACAACAACCAATCAAGATCGAGGTTAGCAGAACAAGCTACAGGTCAAACGTGGAGAAATTCTAATGCTTCACTTCTATCTGAAGTTCGTGCTGATGATGTTGTTCAGAAGAACAATGAAAGCTCCACAACCAAAACAACCAGCTCAGAGAACGAAACACCACCACAATCATAACCAACTGCCAACTGACTAGAATTAGACAGTCGAGTGGCTAGACCTGCATCCATTGGACATTACCGAACACCTGGAACCGTACCGAAAGAACAAGAATCGAGAGCGAAGAAATCAAATTGGTTTACACTAGCTCGTGAAAAAGATATTGGATATTGGATATTGGAATGCACTCAAGGTTATTCAATGAAAAAGGGGGTCGATTTAACCTTGGTTGTTGTTGTATGCTGGTCGTCTGTTCCGTAACCAGTTTGACCGCCCGCGACTAATACCGCTGTTAGAAGCGTGTGTGACAGATGTCGCAGTTCAGGAACCATCTAATGGGCTGATATCTACTGCCATCGCAGAATGTCGATGTTCTTCTGATGGTTTTGCTATTCGGTCAGCGGTAATAAGTCTGAGTGTCGTCTTCTTCAATTCGGCGATATTAACCGGTGGTATCCGAAGCAAATGCTCTCTCAGCGGACCCTGCACTAGCCCTTCAATACAGCGGATATGCACTAGGTCGTCCCATGCCGAGGAGTCCAAAACCGGAAAAGCCTGCACGGCTATTTGTAGAGCATCTAGGTATTCTATCGAGCTCTCGGCGGATTTCTGGTTACGCTCTAAAAACTGCATGGTAACGTGCTCTGTGTCCACAGTTGAAGAGAAACAGTCGTCCAGTATCTTCCAATTTTGAGGGGGAGCAGCATATCCTTGTCCGAGACCAGGCACTGAGGACAGTGCCTCCTGAGTGTAACAGAGTCAAAGTATGTATGTTGTTGCTAACCCGTCCTGTTTTCTTTCTGTTTCAGGGCGATCAAACTTTAACACTTTGGAAGCTGAAGAACAAGCCCTGAGTGGTCTGAACATACAGGATGACTCTTAAGATTTCGGTACCATAGCGACCCTTTTCTGTAAGATTCGGCATATTTCAATTTTTAAAAATAAACGAGTGCCGTGGCAACCACTTTGTGTTCTCTCTTGGTGTGAGATGTTAAACTAACCTTGTGTGTTGTGATTTTAGATCCTATCCGCCCTTCAGTGACTGCTGATTACACGTGTTACATATTACTTGTCTAACTATTCCCCAGCCCTGTAGATGTTTGCAACTGGTTACTGATTATTTCCAGTCTTAGATCTGATTTTAACTTTTGTAAAACAGCTTCATTTATATGTCGGTCTAATCCTTCATTTTGATGCAGTACTGCTGTCTTGCGAGCTACACAGTCTGAATAGTTAACATCCAAATGTTTAATTAGTCCAACAGTCGTTATATCCTAGAGCCCTAAATGATTTTTCAGGGGCGGTGTATTTACTTCGCATATGGTCATTGTCATTTCCGTCCATCTTTTGATTACGTAAATCATGGCAAAAGTTTACGTTTGTGTACAAAATATACAGAACCACTTACAATAGTATAATTATAGTCCTAAAATATAACAGCGCTTATGGTCATGTACATTCTAATGTAAATAGCTTTCAACTGTTTGCGTTAAGTAGAGCAGGGAATCAAAACCTTGATAACTGTCAACCATTTATCTAGACGGAATTCACCTACAATCTAGCATGAAGTAACGTCATCTATTTAGAGTGACTCTGTAATGATCCTGCTACCTAGTGGAACTGACTTTAAAGCCAGCCAAAAATCCAAGCGAAATGTAGAATATTGTCTTTGTTACTGGATCAATCTATCAGTTTTACCATTGAAATCATCTCCAATAAAATTGGAAAGCCTATCCGTTGTTACAATAATGTGAATTATTACCGATGGCTCATATGAGCCGACAGTATATATCTTTACTTGACTTTTTTGTTACTGAACAACTTAACGCTCCCAAGTCTGTTCATATGTAGAAACAGTTCAATAAACCGACAAAGGATTAAGTCCTATTAATAAGTAAAAATATATTGGAGTATCAATCGCTTTTTGAATAACGAATGAACAATAAGGTTAGTGTGTAATAGCGCATTTGCTTTTACAAAGTAAATAATAATTCATAATCCGTGTTCAGTTCCTATAAATAGGTCATGAAGTAACTTCATGTTTTCTGTTCTATTAAATTTCACTATAAACAAATGCAAAATGTTCTAGTGCTTGGTAATTTCCTACCCACAAACGTTCAAGCTGTCAGATTTATTTTGTTTATTTTCGTAGCATGCCTGCAAAATTATTTGCTCTTAATGTTATAACATTTTGTATCTTTGCAAAACGTATCTTATTCTAAAATCCAGGTATGTTAGCTGCATCAGATCCTAGAAGACCCAATAAACTTCGGAGGTATGTATTTATAATAATTCCTTAAACCTTAAAGATTTGTCCCGTTGTCACAGGACACCCCTCCACTTGATCAAACTATCGATTATCTTAATTTTTTCGGGATAGTCTTAAGCATGTGTGGACTGCTGTTCGAAGTTAGTTAAAAATATGAGAAGTTTATGTTTGTAGATGAAGTTTGCTGCTTGGCTGGCCGTTGCTTGTGCTTTCATAACGTATTCCAACTCACGAACGGGGGAGGACACAAAGCAACTAATCAGTGGTTTTATGTAATGTTCCTTTTCGTTTCTATTAGTTGGCATTTTCAGGTTGTCCATTAGTGCACTTATAATATGTTATATGCATAATCCACAGCCTATGCATCTTCCGTGGTGATTTTTCTGTAAATTATATGCTTTTTTGGAATACAAATTGGTTGTACTTTGACTTTTTGATTATCAACTTTGATTTTTCCCACTGCTTTAATCAACCATTTTCATTATATTAGGCTGATTTACCACCCCTTCAGCTTCCTGCGGGTTCCTACAATCCAGTCAACAAACGTGTTATATATGTTGGTAAGCTCTCATTTAGTTAATATTGTTCACTTCTAATAGGGGGACTATCAGAGCAAGTTGATGTACCGCTTGTTCGTGCAGCATTCATACCTTTTGGAGACATAGTTAGTATCAATATGCCTATGGACTATCAAACCGGTAAATTTCATTTTGTTTTCATTTCCTGTTAGAAAAACATAGAGGATTCGCTTTTGTTGAATTTGAAGAAGTGGAAGACGCTATGAGTGCCATTGATAATATGGTAAGTTATGTTTTAGTTTACTCCAATGAGATTTAAAGCATAGATTAGCTCTTCAAACGTAATAATTTTAAAATCCAAGGTTAGTGTGGTTTATTGGAAGTTCCTTCAATCAGAGTAATTTAGCAAATATAGTGTTTGAGCAAGAAATAAAGACAACAGACTTTTTCTAGCTCTCTCAACATTCGGTTTAATACAGAATAATAAATAAATAATAATAATAAATAATATCCTATAAGATGCATTTCCTGATCATGGCTGCTACTTTGATGTGGTGATCGTGTTTGCTTGTCGTGATGACCCAGCCCAGCTATATTAGCTGAAACACGTGCTTATTCAGTTACTACCGTTCCAGACACATATTGGGGAATGGTAACACTATAAGCAGCTACTTAAGGTCTGGGAGCGAAGTTATACTGATGACTGTCGAGAGTTGTAACAGTAGTAAGGTGTTTCCCTAAGACAACAAGCATCCGTGGTGATGCTGCTCTCTCACGACGGAAGGAAGTGGTTGGTAGGGATCGACCCTGAAGGAGTTTGTCCCTTAGGGCATGCGGTCACGCTCGCAGTTAGCTAAGACCGACGCTAATCCAAACTCCTTTTCAGATTCCTCACGAAGAAATACCCTTCCGCGGTGTAGACAACCGGTAAGTGACATTCACCCTCACACTCCTAACAGCACAAGAGGCCAAAAAAGTCACAATTAAATCCTTTCGTCACGACAAACCTTTCTCGTATACATTTATCACCTCGCGCTGCTAAAGCTATAGATTTTAGTACACGAAACGCTATTCCTGGTCTCCTTATACCCCGCTCCAAACAATATGTTGAGGCTTTTAATGTTTGAACCTTGTGCCAAATAGGTCAACAGCCTCCATTAGCTAGAACTCTGGAATCCCGTGCAATCGATGTATGTTGCATCTCTGAAACGCGCATACAAGATCCGAGTAAAACCATCAACTTGATTTCACCTAATGCAGATAGAGAAACAACACGGTTAACGCTTCGTGTTTCAGGAAGCCTTGATGCTACTTCCCGTGGCCTCGCTGGTGTAGACATAGCATTAAATTCTAAAGCAGAACCAGCTCTCATATTGCATTCTAGTAGACATTCACTTATGCGCCCGACCGTAGCTGCTACCTTGACATGGTGGTCGGGCTTGTCTATCGTGATGACCCAACCGAGCTATATTGGCTGGAACATATGTTTCTGCAGGTTCTACCATGCCAGGCAGGTCGATTGGAGAAGAGAGATGAGGCCAAAACCAGTGACTCAAGGTCTGAGGGCGGAGTCGTACTGCTGACTGCAGAGAAGTGTGACAGTAGTAAGGTGTTTCCCTCTGACAAACAGCATCTGCAGCGATGCTGCCTTCTCACAAGGGAGGAGCCTAAAAATGTCACACCTCACGGAATTTCGTCTCCGGATCTCAGTAGCATCCACCTAGTTGATGGATGCTCGAAAACTCATCCCGCCTGGCTGTGAGTGCGATGAGGAGCGGAGTAAGCTCAGGCGCAGGCTGATAAAAAGCCTACTCAATGATTGAAAACAGTGGTGGGTGGCGAAAGCAAGACAAATAGAAAAGGTAGCGGCGATAGGCAACAGTGGACAAATTATCCGCCTTACAAAGGAAACCGGTATTAGGAACCCGATTGTGAGTGAGACTATCTCGGAAAAGGATGGAACTATTATATATTCTCAATCCAGGAGACTGGATCTATGGGCAGAACACTTCAGGGATCATTTCGAATGGCCTTCAGCCACACTTCGGTTACCCGCGATATACAGTCACCCTGAATGGCAGGTCAACGTAAGTCCTCGAAAAAGTTATGAAGTTGAAAAGGCTATAGGCAATCTGAAGCGAGAGAGAGCAGCAGGACCCGACAGACTGACTCCTGAAATTGCTAAGGATGGTGGTCCTGTTTTAGCAGCTAGATTGACTGAAATCTGGGAACTGGACACAATCCCATCTGAATGGTCTCAATCCCTGATTGTCCTAATTTATAAGAAAGGACACAAGTCTTGTGACAATCACAGGGGAATAAGTCTAACTAATATAGTTTCTAAATTGTTAGCCTCGATTATACTTAGACGCCTTACTAGTGCTCGTGAAGAGCAGACTAGAGAAAACCAGGCTGGTTTTCTACCTGGACGTGGTTGTATAGACCACATTTTCACACTACGACAGGTTCTGGAACATAGACACACATTTAGACGTCCGACAATATTTGTCTTCTTGGAACTTGAGGCGGCATTTGACTCTGTGGGTCGTGAAGTTCTGTGGCTGTGTCTGTCATTAAAAGGTGTATCGAAGAAGTACGTTACCCTTATACAAGTTCTGTACTTGAACACTACAGGTCAAGTGATAGCTAATGGCGAACTGTTATCGGAATTCTTTACTTCCAGTGGTGTCCATCAGGGAGGTCCACTCTCCCCATTCTTGTTCAATTTTGTCATAGACATGCTGCTAGATATAACATTATATTCGTCCGACCTTTCAGCAGTAGACCTTTAACCAGGAGGCTCGCTTATTGACTTAGAATATGCCGATGACATAGTTCTATTCGGTGAAGATGCTGACAAAATGCAGAGTCTTCTGACTACCATAAGCAACAACAACAAGCATGTTCGAGATACGGTTCTCACACTTGAAATGCAAAATGTTGCTTCAAGACAGGGTTTCATCGGTACCTGAACTAGTGATAAGGGGTGAAGTAGTCGAGCGTGTTGACCGCTTCACTTATCTGGGGAGTCTCATCAGTGCTGATGGCCTGGTGACTGACGAAATCTCAGCTCGGATACAGTAGGCTCGATTAGCTTTTGAAAACCTGCGTCACTTATGGTGCAGGCGAGATATCCGTTTGCTGACTAAAGGACGAGTGTACTATTCAGCAGTTCGCTCCGTCCTACTATACGGATGCGAGACTTGGCCGTTAAGAGTAGTGGACATTCGTAGGTTACTAGTCTTAGATCGTACGTGTATCCGAAGCACTGCTCATGTATCCTGGGACGACCGAGAAAGCAATTCTATCGTTAGGAAATGAGTTCTAGGTAGGGATGGCAAATCGATAGATGAAGTAGTGTAACTTCATCAGTTGAGGTGGTTGGGACATGTGTTACGTATGCCTAACCACCGACTGTCTCGACGAGCTATGTGTTTTGTGATGTAGGAATAGGTTGTAAGAAAGTTAGGGGCGGCCAAACCAAAACATGGGAGAAATCCATGAATTTACTGACAAGTGGACTGAGTCATGTTGGTAGGTGAAGGTTATCTGGTTGGGGTCCTCGAGATGATAGTAACCGATGGTTAGAGACTGAATGACATGGCTCAGAATCGTTAGCAATGGCGCAGGTGCATCCATTCTTTGTGTTCTTTGAAATTCCAATCTTTTGAATTCCTCATCACCTCTATCTTTCTCTTTCTAAATTTACCTCACTGAATTATACGTTTTGAATCATATCTTCGAACCCTAATCTCTCCAATTATTTCTAATACTTTTACCACCTCTACTGCTATTGGATTTGAATTGACAAATATATCTCTGTGCTGATGTGGTATGGCAACTTGAACTGCTGTACTTACGTGCGAATTTCTACGTTGCTGTTGATCATGATGATCGCTTATGCGCTATCTGAGTAAAAGGGGACAGTAAAACCGAGCAAAGACAAGGACATTTTCTGTTGTTTCTGCCCACGCTTGCACATATGACAGCTCAAATGAGGTAAAAGATGAGTTTTACGGAAAGCTTTCTAACTTTCTTCAAAGAAACTAATCATTGGATATAGTAATCATTAATATGATGGTAAAGTAGGTATATTAGGCGAATCTGGTGTTTCGCTGGTGTAAGTACAGCATTGAGTCCTAGGGCAGATGAGAAGACTGAGGCAGGCTCGGTAGATTGTATTTGGCAAATTTACACTCTTAGTCAATTAAATACGATAACATTACATTGAACACTCCATTTACACACCATCTTTGAGTCCTGACTTCCAACGCTCCAGCCTTCCTCCATTCCTGCTGTTGCTTCCTTTACTTCCTGTCGGTGCTCTAAATCTTTCTTGCTTTTGCTCTATTTGCTTTCCGTTTTCCTCTTCTGACCGTAAGACATCTTCTTTCACGTCCATTCTTATACTACTTATATCGTTCGTATAAGTAGCACACACCACACAGAACCAGCGCTCCTAGACTGGATCCCATAACCGCTAGTACTACTACTACTACTACCTCTATCACTATTGGATTTGAAGTAACAAATGCATCTCTGTGCTACTGCAGTATGACAACCTGAACGTATGTACGTACGTACAAAGTTATACGTTGTAGCTGACTGAATGAAACCCTGGGTACTTCAGTCAGGTTGGGGTTCATCGGCTAGTTTTGAAATATATATTTTTAAACTAGAAGTCTTTTATCTTATCACACAAGCAGTACTGTTGAGTCATACATAACGATATATACATCGTTTTCAGTGACCTTATCTCACGCGCGAAGAATACAATAGATCGAACTTCCATTGTTGTAGACTTTTACAAGACACGAAATTCTGTTAAACTACAAACTTAATGACGTGGTTTTAATCACTCATGAGATCGGATCCTAACAGAATACTTCAGACAGTTTAAGAGTTCATTTAACATAAATCTCCGGTGAAGGTATAATGTGGGAACGAGCTCCAGATAGCCGTTGTGAATTTTAGCCGGTTGTTAGTCAAGCAGGAAACAGCTTTTACGAAAAATTAACAGTGATATCTCTAGGTGTCAACAAATTTTGTATGATTTGTGAGTCCTATCAAAGCCTTCTACGGATCATTCTGTTCGTAGTTTAGGAAAACACTAATCCGTCCATATGATTGTGGATTATCTATCTTCCCAAAAGATTCTTAGAAGTTCCTTCATTGTCCATTGTTAGTGTTAGAAAACTAAGGTTAGCTATTTATTGATAGGATTAAGGTAATGTTGTAACGGTTGCTTAAGATATTTCCCGGCTAAATCTTATTGCTTAGTATTCTTGACACAAACACTGGACAAGTAACCCAAATCAGAACACGGTTGAACAGGAAGGATTGTATTCCAAAATAGCAAGGAAAAGAAGCCGGAGGCGATGGCGAAAGCCAAGGCAAAGAAAGCAAGAAGGCGAAGAAGGCAAAGATAAATACAATGCTAGTCTATTTATAGCCTTTACATGAGAAAACGTCTGGAAGAAGATTCACGTGATCGACTGGACTGGATTTGACCAATCAGCATGCAGCTAATAATACGAGAATTTTCTATCCTGTTCTCCAAGCTTCGATCAGGCGCTGATTGGATAGGAAATTAGCCAATCAGCGCGCAGCAACGTAGTCGTGCTTCAATTCCATCTGTCCCGCTAACAGGTAACATTAGAGATTTAGGATTCCGAATTTAGGGATAAGGACTAAGATTTAGGGAAAGCATCAGTCTGTTTACTGTATACCATCTACGCAGACATAATCGGGCATTTAATACGTGAAACTACATTTTTAATTTAGGGCTGTAAACATTATCGTTCGTTATCATTTTGAAAATTGTACGAAGGTATTCTTGCTGATCATACTCTATGGTTAAACTATTCTAACGTTTTCTCAAATTTTCATGTAGAATGAAAGTGAGATATTTGGGCGTACTATTCGTGTTAATGTGGCGAGACCAGTACGCATACGAGAAGGTTGGAGTCGACCAGGTAATGTTTTTCTGATAACTTATTATTGTCAGAATGTGAGATTTCCGAGACTAGTTTTATTTATTTTATGTACACAGTCAGTCAGTTCGTGATGTGTATTAAGCTCTAACCTATAAGAATCTAGTTTGTGGATTTCTAAATTTTCTGACCGGTTTTGCAATTATGCAAAGCACTTCTCACAATATACTTCCAGTTATTTATAGTTTTTTAGTTTTGTCTTTAATTTGTTTCGTCGTATCCCGTCGGTTTGTTCTGAAATTATCTGTTTAGTTTGTTGTATCGTCATCACGTCGCTGTAACTGTACCATATGCGATTTTTTGAAGTTGATCACAAGATAATAAACTACAGTATCCAAAAATTTTTTGAATACCTATTGATGCACCAATAAAAATAGCAGCGAATCTTTTATTTACATTTTTTAAATCCTATATACTATTCTGTCAGCTGCTCATTTTAGTTACTTTGGTTATGTGTGTACATGCCAGATGCTACTTTGAGTATGACATCCAAGGGTTTGCTGTGTATTAAATATTCATGTCATTACTAGTAAGGAAGTTTAATTCTATAGATTTCGATAAAACAAAACTTAAATACGTAATCAACTGCAAGCGGTAATGACTTGATTTAAATTGGCAACTTTTTGTTTAAAAGTTGGTAAATTTCGACAATTTTTATTATGTCACTTGTCGATTTCTGAATCTGTGATTAACTTTTTTCAGTGCTGCTACAGCCTCTACTACTAAAGGATTTTAACTTACAATTTGAGTTATCTGTGCTAATGTGGTTTGGCAACTTAAAATGATGTTTGCATATACTAAGTTCTAGGTTGCAGTTGACTGAGTGCTGGAGTATTGCTTGTTATCCAGTTAATTATCTCGTTTATCCATATAGAAGCAGTCGCTTTCACAATTATACCTTTTGGGTGATATCCGAATAACTAGAAAATTAGATATTTAATGTTTCATGTCTTAATGTAAATCACTTCTTTAGACATTACTCTTTGTTAGTGTGATAATGTTGTTAACATTTGATTGCATTTAGTGCCAATCTTGCACTGTTTAGTGTACTACTGGAAAGACGGTTGGAAAAATTTAAATTTAACTATGCCCATAAGTTAGAATTTTAGTTAAACTTCTATATAACTTTAAAATGTTTCCTATGTATATCCATTTTAAAATTTACATTTCAAGTTTGGTCGGATGAGAATTGGCTAAAGAAATATGGCAGTGCTCCGTTGGAAGTCAGAAAATTGGATGAACCTGATATCGTCAATCCATCAGATTCAACAGAAAATGCTGAAGACTTGGTAATTTCTATAAAAAAATTACTTGTCATGCAGTACACGAATGAAATATCTCATAACAATAAAGAGAGACATGTCTCAAAAGTCAACTGGTTCAAAGTAACACACTTCACAAAAGAGCATGAGCTATGCCACACTAACCTTATTGTTCATTCGTTATTCACAAAGCGATTGACACCCCAAATATTTTTACTTACAAATAGGTCCTAATCCTATGTAGATTTATTGAACTGTTTCTGTGTATGAACAGACTTTGAAACTTTCCAACAAGTTCAGCCTTACAAATAGGTGCTATGTTATGTATCCAGTAATCTTGTTACGAAATTAAGCAGTCCATTATGTTCAATAAGGTTGGAATGGAAAATATTTAATTCAACCTGACACCATAGTGATTAAGATATTGTTGTAACCAATACAATCCGTTTCAGGGCTTTAATTTTCACTTATATTCAGAATGAGCTAGTAACATGAGTATTATTGCTGACAACAGATAGGTTTTCCAGTCCTATTAGAAATGATCGCAAATCAAAAGATGAAGTAGTGAAAATTCATCAGTTGTGGTGGTTGGGACACGTGTTTCGGATGCTCAACCACTTCGACGAGCGATATTTTGTGGTGTAGGAGTAGGTTGGAAGAAAGCTAGAAGAGACCAGACCAAAACATGACAGAAATCCATGAAGTCACTGACAAGTGGACTGAGTCATATTGGTAAGTGTAAACTACTTGGTTGGGGTCCTCGAGATGATAGTAACCGATGGTTAGAGATCTTGAATGACACGGCTCAAAATCGTTAGCAATGGCGCAGGTGCATCCATTCTTTGTGTTCTTTGAAATTCCAATCTTCTAAATTCCTCATCAACTCTATCTCTCTTTTTATAAATTCATCTCACTAATATTATACTTCTTGAATCATATCCTCGTACCTTAATTTTCTCCATTACCACCAATGGCAACCTGAACTTATGTACGTTCTACGTTGTAACTCACTGACCTAATGATCCAGTAACCAAGACAATTTTATCGATTTCTTTTGGCTTTTGGCTGGCTTTAAAGTCAGTTTCGCTAAGAAGCAAGATCACTACAGTCACTCTAGATAGATGACGTTACTTCATGCAATCACTTTCACTGGTGAAGAGGAGTACGATAAAAAGCTGACCTTCCTTGACGTCATACTAAGTAGACGAATTATTAAATTACCATTCAACGGACATGTGACCTGCGTTACTCTGCAGGACGGATTAATGAGAGCAATTAATAGAACTTTCAATGCAGCCAAACTTGCGTTGACCTTCTCAAGTCGACCAGCGATGTCTACCCGAACGAAGGATAAGTTACCTGAGTTGGCCTCCTCTATGTGCATTTACAAATTCAGCTGCTCCTGTGGAGATAGCTATATCGGGTGAACTACCAGGCAGCTTAACCTACAAATGAGTGGACATCTCCCAGCATGGTTTAAGAAGGGTCAGTCAAAAGTAATACGCATTTCGATCTTAGCACACCTGGTTGAGAGTGGTCACATCGTATATTAGTCTAGATCTTTTCGGCTGATCTATCGTATTTCTCAATCATTTCGCAACGGAGTTCGATCCCGTCTTCTACTCATAGCAGAGGCCATAGGGATTCGTACATTCAACCACACTTTGTGTTCAGAAGAAATTCGTGACACCCCTATCTCTTCCGTGGCCGGATATAACGTGACTAACGATTTAAGATTTAAAATTTTTCTAGGGGGGGTTATACTTTATTTTGTTATTATTAGCATTATTTTCACGTCCTGTATTTGTTAGTTATTCACTGCCTCTTTCCGTTTATTACGTAATGGTTTTAATGTTTTCTAATGATTATTTTAAGTCTATTTATCCACGTTTGACCTACTCATAAAACTTTTTTTATCGTATTTTATTTTTCATACTACTATCAGTATTCATTTATATTAGAGTAAAGCCTGATGACGATCTAATCGAAAGCAATATTGTTCGCTTATATGTGTTGTTCATGTTATTTCTTTCCACGGTAGTAGGTGACTGCCGTCGAGGTAAATGGTTGACAGTTATCAAGGTTGAAAGCTATTTACATTCGAATATGCATGACCATAAGCGTTGTTATATATTAAGACTATAATTATACTATTGTAAGTGGTTCTGTATATTTTGTACACAAAAGTTAACTTTTGTAATGAATTATGTTCTTAATCATTACAGAGTGACGAAGAAACACGGACCAAAAAACAGAAACGAAATCTTCCCAGGGTATTCTTCGATATTAGAATCGGAAATGGAGATGCTGGTCGTATAGTGATGGAGCTTCGGTCAGATATTGTCCCGAGAACTGCTGAAAACTTCCGTGCTTTGTGTACAGGAGAACGTGGATTCGGTTATCACAATTGTTGTTTCCATCGAGTTATACCTCAATTCGTATCCATTATTGATTGTATTTGGTTGCTTTTGCGTAATTTTCTTATGTTGACAAAACTTAACGGATATCTGTGTAAAACATTTAACCAGAAGGCGTGGCTGAACAGCTGTCGATATAAAATTCATCCAGACTTCTAGCGTATTATCGATATTGACGTTCACATTCAAGCAACTTGAGGAAAACTAACTTCAAGTTGATCGTTCAGCCTCCTAGTCCTCATGTCTCAGATTTTAGATTAGTCTTTGTCTATACCGCAATTTTTACACTAGTGTTTACGTATGACCAACGTCCAATTCTTCTAGCTGGCTCTGGTTTTAAATTTTGCATCTCTAGAGGTAGAATATTTCATATTTTATACTATATCCTTGATAATGCTTGTCTCATCAGATGTGTCAAGGAGGTGACTTTGTAAAGGGAGATGGAACCGGTGGTAAATCAATATATGGACGTAAATTCGATGATGAAAACTTTCAACTACGACATGAAGGCTTTGGTAAGTGTTCATCTGTTAGTCGTAATAACGTGTTTCGACTTTCGAATATTCATTATAGGTGTGCAGCTGTTAAGTAACTCTTGTATTAGATGCCGACATCAAACAAATCATCAGTTTTAAATGTATATGATGCTCATATAGACAAAAAGTATAATGATAGTCTGCCTAACATTTCCTCACTGCTCAATGAAAGAGCTCCCAACAGTAACCAGATGCAGCTTCTGCCATCTACTTGTTAGCACGATCCAACCATCAGGTTTCTCAGTCCTCACGCAAACTTTGCACTATTCGACTATGCAACAATCTTCGTTTACCGTTAAGCTCTCGTTTACTCGATGTGCTCCAGCACACCGTGAGGAGCTTGCTCAAACTCAGTATTTACAAGCCGAACGTTTTACCAAAGGGCAAGTTACTCGTCATTTTTATGGCGTCATGCAGTTGTAGCCAGTGCTCATCTACTGTTTTCGGTGGGTTGGTAACTAACCTTGGACCTAGCTCGATCTGATATACAGTTGCAATAGAAGCGGTAAACAGTTTAATAACATTGTCCAATTTAGGACCATGAACTTGTTCGCCACTAAAACATAGAATGAGAATAATTAAAACAAGGAGATGAGTAGAGTCCAGATAAGTACTTTAAAAGGAGCGACAGTCTGGTACATAACCACGCAGACGGCCGCTAGTCGCAATGTCACTAAACATGAGGACACATGAGGACATGAGCACATCGGTTATGACTATTGCAGTAGTAAGTGCTAGACAGAAACAGGTAATATGTGCCAAGTTGCAGTACACGGTCGCTATAACCCGGGACACAAACGAGTCCCATTGACCACCCAAAAACTTCTCTGTGACTAGAAACCCAATAAGCTCATTCAAATCGCTGGCTATTACTATATTACCTAAAACACTAGCTTCGATAATCATCCAACGCCTAAATAGTGTTCGTGAGACTGTGCTGGTTTGAGGCCTAGATGTCTGCATACTAACCAAATATCCAGCCTTCGCCGCGTTCTAAAACGGGCACACCTGCTAAATCACCTTTGTAGTTGCATTTATTCGAATCCGCAAATCGACAGGTTGTATGGCAGTGCGTTTCTTCCCCACTAAACGTAAAGTATTGCTTCAATACTGGTCGGCATCAACCCTTGAACTAGTGATAGATATTAGCGTAGGGCGGTCAGATCGAAACATGGCACAAATCCATGAAGTCGCTAACAGTTAGATTGAGTCATGTTGGTAAGTGTAGACTACCTGGTCGGGGTGCTCGAGATGATAGTACCTGATGGTTAGGGACCTTGAATGACATGGCTCAAAATCGTTTACAATGGTGTATATGCATCAATTCTTTGTGTTTTCCCAAATTCTGATCTAAACTCCTCATGACCTTCATCTTTCGCATCTCAAACTTATCTCACTAAATCATATTTCTTGAATACTATCTTCGGACCGTCATCTTTACGTTTACTGATGACAGTTGCGTCTCTATGCTACAGTGTTATGACAAATTGAATTGATGTACGTACGTACGAAGTTCTACGTTGTAACCGACTGATTGAAGTGGTTGGACATGTTGACCACTTCATTTATCTTGAAAAAATCGTCAGCCTTTGTGGGTTAGTGTCTGACGAAATCTCCGCAGATTCGGAAAGAGCGGTTGGGTTCTGCTAGTTCAAAACAGTTGTGGGGTATTGACATGTCTATCATCAAACCGAAGGACGAGTATGCTGCTCAGTAATTTGTTGTTTTACTTTATGGTTGTGAAAGATAGTCTTCAAAAAAGGCATTCTAGTCAGTTGGCGATTGATCATAGGTGCCTACTGACCATTGAGTAAGCAATCCTAAAGTGAGAGCAATGCTACGTAAAGATGATAAGTTGATTGACGAATCAATCTTTACGGATTGCAATTTTGACAACGTGTATTATGTATGCCCATCCATTGTCATCTAGATGTACTATGATAACTGGTTGGAAGAAAGCTCGAGGCGGCCGAAAAAGACAATAATAATCTTTAGCCGACTATTAAGTCGGCCCAAAATTAGCAAAAGTTAGAAATTGGACATACCTAGGCCATTGCAAGCGAAATTGAGACATTCTCGCGGGCCCCAACCGGGCATCTACACCTACCACCACAACTCAGTCCACATGGCTTATTCCGGTTGACAATGACAAGGATTTGTGCCATGTTTTGAAGACACCGATGATCGAATACTAGTAATTTACGAATATCCTTGATCCTTACTGACCACGTTTCACTCCCGTTTAGTAGAACGGTGCAGACTGCACAGTGAACTCGTCTTCTGATTGGCAGATGCATATCACGCTTACGCTTCAAGTTGGCAAAGGCCAATCGAGCCCTCGCTTCAGATTTCCTAACGCTTTCTCAACTTCATAAAGACTAGGGGGACTTAAGTCGATTTGCCATTCAGGATGACTGAAGATCATGGGTAACCGAAGAGTGGCTCCCTAAAATGTTCTGCCCATCGATCCAGTCTCCTAGATTGAGAATAACTAATAGTCCCATCATTTTCCGAGATAGTCTCACTTACACTAGGATTCCTAATACCAGTTTCTTCGAGGACTCGGAAAAGCTGTCTACTGTTGCCTATCGCCGCTGCCTTTTCCATTGGTTTTGCTTTCGCCACCCACCACTGTTCACGGTCGTTGCGCAGGCTTTTTATCAGCCTGCGCTTAAGCTGACCCAGTTCTTCATCATGTTCAGAGCCAGGTGGGATGAGTTTTCGGCCATTCATCAGGTCAATGGATGCTACTGAGATCCACGGCTTCATTCTAGGATTATGGTTAACCTTACTAGCAGATATCACTGCGGTTTCCACAGCCTTTTTGATATCATTCCGACCTGCCTCCCGATGGGAATCGCTTGAATGGTCGCCTTACTGTCTTTCTAGTTGTTCCTGAAATATATATTCTTCGCCCTATTATCATTAAGTAAAACCCTAAGAGGCTTTCTTACGGTGTCTTTCCTACGCCCAGTAAGCTTCAAACAAATAGGCGCTCGCACTAGGGCATGATCTGAATCTAAACATGTGCCCCACAGCGAGCGACAGTCCTCTATCGAACCACTTCATCGATGGCTGATGGCAATGTGATCTAGTTGAGTCCAACGTTGAGACGACTTTGGAGGTCGCCAGGTCAACAAATGCTTTTCCTTGTGCCTAAAGTTAGTGTTTGCTAGAAATAGGCGGTTATCTGAGCATAGCTGCAACAGACGGTTGCCATTGTCTGTTCTCTGAGCCGCGAGACCATAACATCCACCCAGGTGTCTCCTGCTCACTTAGTCTACCTACCTGAGCATTAGAGTCACCAGCCATTATTACTACATGAGAGCCCAAAGCTTTCAGTAAAACTCCTCTTTCACCTCTTCTGAACTCGTCAGTGGGGGCATAGGCAGATATGACGAAGAGGCAATGACGAGTGTCCCTATCTTTCCGAGCCCTTACTGTCCCGTTCAGCCGGACGGCGCACAAACGATTATCTACTGGGATCCAGTCTAGGAGAGCTAGTTCTGCCCTACGACTCAATGCTATACCTACACCAGCGAGACCTCGGGAAGCAGCATCAGGGCTACCGGATACACGAAGAGTAAATCGGGCTGCTTCTTTGTTTTGACAAGGCGAAATCAGATTAATGACCTTACTAGGATCCTGTATGCGCGTTTCCGAGACGCAGCATACATCGATTTGGCGAGATTCTAATGTTCTAGCTAACGAAGCCTGTTGACCTATTTGATACAATGTACGGAGTTTCAGGAGACCAGAAATGACGTTTCGTGAACTCGCATTGTTTGCATTAGCTGTGCAGTGTGATAAAGGAATGTGAAAAGAGTTAGTCGTGGAGATAAGAGAGGTACTAGAGGGTTAGGAAGGATTTGATTTCGACCAATTTGGTCTCGTGTGCTGTTACGGGTATGAGGGCGGTTTTCACTTCCCGGCTGCCCACACCGTGGAAGGTTTTTACTTGAGGGACCTGAAAAGGAAGGTATATTAGCGTTGGTCTTATCAACCTATGCGCGTGACCGCAGAGCCCAAAGGACAATTGCTTGAGGCCGGTCACGCACGGCATTTTTATGAAGGGTTTTTTGAGGATTAGCTCCGCTCTTAAAAGCATTTAGTGGGCACACTTACCGCCGGAGACGGAAATCCGTGAGGCAGAGCGAGGTGTGACATTTTTAGGGTCGACCTTTTCTAACCCTTCCTTGTGAGAAGGCAGCATGGCTGCAAATGCTGGTTGTCAAAGGGAAACACCTTACTGCTGTCACACCCCTCTGCAGTCAGCAGTACGACTTCGCCCTCAGACCTTGGGTAGCTGCTTTTAGTACCATCGTTCTCTAATCGACCTGCCTGGCATGTTAGAACCTTCAGGAACATAAGTTCTAGCCAGTATAGCTCGACTGGGTCATCACGATAGGCAAGCCCTATCACCACGTCAAGGTAGCAGCTACAGTCGGGCGCGTCACAATGGACAACTATAATAATAATCCTTTAGATTACTAAATACGGTAAGTCTAATCACAATAGTTATTAGGATGTTTCCTACACTTTCTACATTCTTGTTCAATTTTGTCATAGACATGCTGCTAGATATAACATTATATTCGTCCGACCTTTCAGCAGTAGACCTTTAACCAGGAGGCTCGCTTATTGACTTAGAATATGCCGATGACATAGTTCTATTCGGTGAAGAGGCTGACAAAATGCAGAGTCTTCTGACTACCATAAGCAACAACAACAAGCATGTTCGAGATACGGTTCTCACACTTGAAATGCAATATGTTGCTTCAAGACAGGGTTGCGTCGGTACCTGAACTAGTGATTGGGAGTGAAGTAGTCGAGCGTGTTGATCGCTTCACTTATCTGCGGAGTCTCATCAGGGCCGATGTCCTGGCGACTAACGAAATCTCAGCTCGGATACAGTAGGCTCGATTAGCTTTTGAAAACCTGCGTCACTTATGGTGCAGGCGAGATATCCGTTTGCTGACTAAAGGACGAGTGTACTATTCAGCAGTTCACTACGTCCTACTATACGGATGCAAAACGTGGCCGTTAAGATTAGTGGACATTTGTAGGTTACTAGTCTTCGATCATAGGTGTATCCGAAGCATTGCTCGTGTATCCTGGAACGACCGAGAAAGCAATGCTATCGTTAGGAAACGAGTTCTAGGTAAGGATGGCAAATCGATCGATGAAGTAGTGTAACTTCATCATTTGAGGTGGTTGGGACATGTGTTAGCTATGCCTAACCACCGACTGCCGCGTCGAGCTATGTTTTGTGATGTAGGAATAGGTTGGGGGAAGGCTAGGGGCGGCCAACCAAAACATGGGAGAAACCCATGAAGTCACTGACAAGTGAACTGAGTCATGCTGGTAGGTGAAGGTTATCTGGTTGGGGTCCGCGAGACCAAATTCACCAATGGTTAGAGACCTTGAACGGCATGGCTCAGAATCGTTTGCAATGGTGCAGGTGTATTTACTCTTTGTGTTCTCTCTAATTCTAACCTTCTGAATTCCTCATAATCTCTATGTTTCTCCTTCTAAATTTATCTCACCGAATTATACATTTGGAATCATATCTTTGCTCCCTAATCTTCTCGATTACTGCTAATACCTCTATTATTGTTATCACTCTTGGACGGTTACGTCTCTGCGCTGACGTGGTATGGCAACCTGAAATGATCTACTTATGTACGAAGTTCTGCGTTCTATCTGTCTGTCCATTGTGACGTATGACCAATGCTTTTTCTGTCTCATTTGCTTCCGCTATTTTTCACGATTACTGCCTATGCTTTTTTTATCAGCCTGTGATTAAGCCGCACTTGTTCCTCGTGTGATTGAGAAACAAAAAGGATGAGTTGTCGAGTGTCTGTCAGTTCACTAGATGTGGACAGGTTTTCTTGATCTTTCGGTCTAAATTAGCGGCAGATATCACTGTTGTTTCAAGCTTTTTGGATATCATTTCTAGGTGGCTCGGGTTAGTCATCATTTATGACTGCTTTTCGAATTTCAACTGAAATGTACTCTTGGTTTCACGTCAATAAGTAGATAATAATCGAATTTCCTTGTTGTGATTTTTTACGCCTAGTAAGCTGCAGACAAATAAGTCAGCGTATGGCATGAGTGTGTCAGAATTAGCATAGTATATCACAGCTAATAGCAGACCAGACTATTCCAAACCACTTTTTCTGGAAAAAGTATGTATCACGCGGGGTGGACGATTAGCAGTGCTATTATCAAAACTTTTTAAATTTCAAGTTGCAGAATTGATGCTCAGACAGTAATTATTGAAGTCCCATTCATTGTTTATGGCAGACAATTCAGTTTTACTAAGTAAAACTGATTTATTTTAATTGTAATAAATATCTGATCAATTCAGCAGATGTATCGTACTAAGAACCTAATGTATCAGACAACTTATTATTAAGCTCAATATCACTACACTTTTATGTTGTCATTTTAGATAGACCTTGATTTTTACCTTACCTAAGTTTCTTTGTCTCTCAGGTGTACTCTCCATGGCGAATTCCGGACCCAATACAAACGGATCTCAGTTCTTTATCTGCACAACAAAATGTGATTGGTGAGTATATCTGCATGTATACGAAATTGTGGGTCTTAATCTCCTCGAGCAGCTAGAGTGACAGCGTTTTCCTCATGTCGCTTCTTTGCTTGCATTTGCTGCTTAAAATAATTCTATTCAGATAATTAAAACAACTTATCCTGGGTCGTATATTTCCACCACTCACAGCTTAACTTACTTTCATCGTCGTTGGTAGGTGCACAGCGTTGGATGACGTTCATTGTAATGCCTCCTTTCTTTGTTTTGAAGAATGCTTTAATGATTCGGAATCCATGAGATTCCCATCCTATTAGTGCCTTTTGTGATTGGACAGTATCAGTGCAGGTTTTTGTGTATGTGAGGCATTTTCTTCTTCATGGCCGGAGTATATCAGCAGCTTTCCTTAAGCTACTCTTAGTTGCCCAACCTGCGTCCAATGTGTTTCACTGATTCCAAGCACCTCCAGGCTGTATCTTTCCACCTCTGCAGTCTTTCGGTCTCCCACAATGTTTGAACATCCCATGTACCTAAAAGAATGATTGCTCTGGTTGTGAGAAGAGGCGTCGGCCTTGTGACCTCAGAAGAAACTCGGCTTTGATCATGAGATATCATAGCTCTTCTGAAAGGCCTTCTAGCTCCCAGGGCAGAATTAAAAATGGTTTGAATTGATTTCTATAGTTTTTTTTCAGCGATCCTAAACTGTCAACTTTTTGAAACGGTCTCAGTATTATGTCGATTTCGAACTTCTCTGTAAATATTTATCAAATGTCAACTACAAACAAATTTCCTGCGACTCAAAATACTGCCTTTATAAATGTGCAAATATTCTCAGACACTGTTATTATATTTCTTTCAATGTTCTTTTCCAAAGGCTTGATGGGAAACATGTCGTTTTTGGCCGAGTAGTGGATGGACAAAATGTCGTAAAAAAGATGGAGGTTAGTTATTACCTGCTTACCAATTATTAACAACATTCATGTAATGGTACCTTTCGAACGTAAGAGATCCAAATGCACTTACACACCTAAAGGAGTTCCAGATATATTAATTGCATTCGCAATTGATAATGAAATTCTACCGGTCACTTGATGTAAAGCTATCAAGCATCTACTGCATCAGATTTACTAGAACAGTTTCACTATATCAATGAAAAGGGTATCAGTTTTAACCATAATATACCTATCTAGTTTTGCTGAAAATAGTCTATATCTTGGTACGCAACTTATTTGCTTAGTAGCATATGCTTTCTTTTATAAAAACTATTGAAAAAATATTTTTTAAACCCCTATGTTGTACTTAATAAATTTTCTAATGGTTTTGTAGTCCGTCGGATCAAAATCTGGTAAGGTCAAAGAACCCGTCATCATTTCTCGGTGTGGAGAATTAATCTAGCGCATCTGATTTGTTGAAGGGAAAGAAGTGTACAGCTTTTAAAAAAAATGTTTTTCGACAATATAAAATTGTGATTACTGGTGGTAGTTTTTGATTATGTCAAAGGTGGCTATAAGGATGTCAACGTATTTTATTATGTAGGTCAGCAGATATTTAGCGTTCCAAACTACTGCTTCAAACTATCCATGAACACAGTACGGTATAGAGTGTAGCAGATAAGCCCACGGCTTTCAAAGATTGCCTAGATTACACTTCTTTTTACTCATTTATTAGGAATCTACATTTTATTAGTCTGTCACCTACACTTATGTTTGGTTTGTCTTACAATTCTCGATACTACTTTTGGTAGGGTTAGTGAATAATATGGGGTTATGAAAACTAGCTTCATGAAGTGTAAAGCTACCTACTTACAACACAAGTAATAAAAAGTGGCGACCTTTCGTTACTCATAACTTTTTATTTCGTAACCATTTTAATATGTTATAGCGATGATACATTGAGTTAAGCAGAGCTCTATACGGATAAGATCCTTCGTGTGGTATGGTCCATAAACCAAGTAGTTTTCGTAGGTTGGGGTGCATTATCAATAGACTTATACACAGTTGGTGAATAGAAGATGTACACCAATAAATTACGAGTGCCTAAAACAGAAACAAATGATGTGGCCAACCTACTTTCGGCAGAAAGCTGCAACACGCGAAAAGAATGAGGTTTCCAACCCATCCCAAAAACCGCACAACACTATAAGATAAGGGATCTGGTATCAGTGAATTTGATTTGGAATTAAAAAGTAGAGGTCGTCTTAAGCATGCCAGCTCTACATTTGCTAATCCAGCTAACGTACAAATGAAGGGAAGCATAAAACTTGAGCACGGGATGATGAGAGACGGGTTGTCAATCACTATGTGGAATTAGAAAAATAGATACGATAAGAAAATCAGTCTAGAAAATACCTCATTCATTTAAATTTATAGTCTGAATATATCGTCTCACTTTTTCAAGTGGTCGTTTGGGAGTTGTCAACAATATGAGAGTTTAATAACCAGTTGATGGGGTCACGAAGCTACATTGTCCATTTTTTGGGTTGCTGATTCGTACTTAATCGCAACACAAGTATAGAGTGTATGTATTTACATTCGATTTGTAGATGGAAATTGGAGCTTTGATACACATCGTCTTTCTTCGAAAGGTACGTATTCTAGCAGTATGTGCCGGTCCGTGTTTTTGCCGTAAATGATTGGGATACTGAGATCCCGTTTTGAGATACAATCATCCAGAACTGCCGCAAATTACATACGCATCGCATTTTATATAATCTTAGTGGATGTTCTTAATATGATGTGACATGCTAAGAGATTTAAGATACTTAAAGAACCACTAGTGTATAGAAGAATGCTTGCCTTTATAGCATCTCAAAAGTAGTTCAGAGGAGAGCTCAAATCAACGTTTGAGACTGATGAACATCTTCCGTAAAATATTCTTGATCTCTAAAATGTCACATCTAGCAAGAAAGATTTGTTGGGCATTATATGACGAGACGATAACTTGCGATGTTTAAGCATGCAGAAGAAACAAACGGTAATCCATGAAATATAAATATATTATCGAACTCACCGTAGTTGGGATCAAATTGTGATATTTGATATCCACACAGGTATCTAAGGGAGAAGGTGAATGTGAGCCACAATGGAATTTGGATTATCCCCGTAACTGATGACTTCACTGGATGGCATCCATTCCTTTCACAAGTCTGGATAAAGACACGTCTGAACTTGAAGTATGCATGTATTTACAACAACTTACCATAAGATTTTCAAGTATTAATTGTTTCTTTTGACTTGCACCACGATAATAATCGTAATCATTAAGTTTCGTTCTTATCAACTGCCAGTTTTTTTGGCAGTCGATGGCGACATGTGAAACTTTAGCTTGGTTCCTTTCAGAGAATATATACAGCGGAACGGCTACAACTGTTCTCACTAGGATAGCTGTGGTTGAGATTGTCAGTCCCCATGGTAATCCTAGTTGATCATGAACGCCCACAAGCATATTTCTTACAGCCTTTACATGTAAATGGTCAGGATGAAAGAGTTCTTTGCTGATATAGTTGTAAGCAACAGTGAAGTATGTACACCGCGGATTGTGCAGAACCCTAAGCCGCAACATTAGTAACCTTGGAGAGTTCATCAGGAGGTGTGGACAAACAATGCCACCGAAATCCTTAATGTATGAGTTTACGTTTTTCTGTTTGTCTTTGAATTGAAAAAATTAACTGGATACATAAACGCATATTGTCATGCAATTTTTCTCAGGTCACTCATTACTGAAGTTGTTGACACGATCTCGCGAATTAGCTGTTCTAATTAAACAAAAGTTGAGGGTGAGACTGTAATTTACGCTGGAACCACTCAGCTGTGAGATAAAAATCACGTTTGGACACGCAGCTTGTTCATACAGCATTTTAGCATTATAGCTTATGCTAATTATTTATGAAAACTCTCAACTGAAATCACTAACCTTACCATCCCACTATTAATTCAGTTTCTCATCTCTCACACAACTTTATTAACCACCTTTTTACACAAGTTATATGACTCTCTCTCTGTCTTCTCGTCCTATACCCTAACATTGTCAGTCATCATGAAAAGTTGTAGACGATGTTACCAGCCAAGTGTACGTTTCAGAGTGGATTCTGAATTCGAAAAAACAGTCCTAGAAGTTTAAACACTCGCCTTTCCCAGTTAATCCAGACAGAAAGCAATTTATCAAGACAACATTACACCGTACTCTGTCAAATTTAACACAATGTGTTTCCACTTCTGGAAGAATGTTTCTGTATTTGTCCAAAATTGCACCCTCCAATTCAGATTCATGTTTACCTGCCAGGATAATAAATCCGATATGACTAAAGCCATAATTAAGTATCAATTTAAACAACATAAACAGACTACCAAACTGTAGCACAGAAAGAGTCGGTAAGAACATACTACAAATATACTGATGTAGGGATTTTCCCAAAACAGAGCCTTCAAAATGGATTCTATAATTATATATTTAGCTATCTTATATATGCAACTGTGCCGATCGCTGACGTCCTCTGTCTTGCATAACGCTGAACCTCCTGCTTTTCATATTGTTAACGCAAACAACTGTCAAGTGATGTGCTTGAGTATGTTGTCAATCTTCAGAGTAATTTTTAAAGCAAATCTGAAATATTAACTTCGAACAATTACCATATCTGTGTGATATATTTTATCCTGCCTTTTGTGATAACCCTGGTGACAGACTAATATAAATAGTGTTTATTGGAAACGGTATACGTCGGTATTTGCAGTCAATACAAGTTCATGGCGAAACTAGTGCACCTCTCCTATGCACGCAACTGAGCGATGCGCGTTGACTTTCGTTGATATTCTTTTGAGGCGGCTGGTTTGTAAACTGTTCCTCACTCTTTAACTGGTCTGTTAAAGAATTCGTTTAAGATTCAGTGACATTTCATTGTCACAAAATTCTTTTCTGATATCTAAAACGTAAAACAGGATGCATATGAATTCTTATGATTAAGAAGTGATCACCACTGAGTCTGTGAATAATTTACTTTCCAAACTTGGCTGTCGCTGTTGAAATATTCACCTCTAGATTGAAAAAGGAATACGACGTATATAATTGTGTTCAACTATCAAAATAAAAGTTAATGAACGAACTGTGATAAGAAGAGTTGATTTGGCGACTACACTCTGGATTCAACAACGCAGTAGTATTGACACGATGTCAGTTACAACCATCTTAATAACAACTATAAGAACAAATTTCACCACGCTACCGTCTGATATTTTCAACAGTCCTAAAGTCTGCTAAATCCAAAGGCTAAACAAGATGTCGTTGCAAAAGATAGGGAATATAGCAAACAAGATCAATCTCAAGACGTCCTTTGAGAGTGGTTAAGGTAAACGGCATGTCCTCCTGTGATGAAGTTTGAATTAAATATCAGGCGTAAATAATAATGATAAGATAACAACCATTTTTCCTGTTTGACGGTCAAATCTGATGTTTTTTGAGCGTTGTGTTATTTCGGAGAATATTGCTTTCTCCCTTGCGTATGATGAGAACTGCTACTTCAGAGGCTGCTGATACTCTGGCCTTCTTGTCTTGCTTTTGTTGTAGCAGGTAAGATGGAAGTCCTAGATCATCTGTAAAGCCTAGATCATTCAGCTTCATCCCGTCTGTTAACTATATTCCATGATTACCCTGAGAGTTTGGTGTCCTCATAACCCAGTCGACCACCAGGAGAGAGAGAGAAATTGGAAGAGTAAGAAACCTTGTCTGACACCGGTCACCAATTCGAAAGAGTCTGTGAGTTGTCTTCTATGCATGATTTTGTTGGTTAGTCCATAATAAGAATAAGGTTTGATGCTGACTGTCTTCTGTGTTAAAGAAGCCTCCCTGAGGACATCCTGTATACGCTGTCTAATGTTTACTCGTGGTGAAATAAGTTGATCTGAAGTAATGAGCGTAGAATCCTTTTTGAATGTTTTGTTTTTTGGAAAATCCCTCCATGTTTACATATTTTTGTTATGACAGGACGGACTCTTTCTGTTGACATTTTTGGTATTTTATTTGATTCCAGTTTGAGATTTTATCATTGTATATTGTTATTACTTCTATATTTTGTACTTATATTGAAGTTTTTGTGTTTGCTTCTGAACTGTATATATGTTGTTTTAAATTTGATCTTATTATGGCTACAGCCATATTTGGATTGATACAGTGGCGGTTGGACTTAACGTCACTTATTCATCTTTGTCTTGGATACTCTTCGGAGTAATTGTAACCTGGAAGGTGCATCAATTCCAGGTATTGCTTTGTATTCCATCTTTTAATATAATACA